TGAGCTGTCCCCAACTGCCAAACTACAAAATGTAACTTCTCTCGCTGCCCTCTCCAGGGAAAGTATATAAGCTCTGCTCAAGCTGTTCTCAGGGCTCTATCTCTCTTTGCTATAGAGAGAGCCCTAGCATGCTGGTCTCTAAATAAACCCACCCTTCTGCTGTTGCATAAGACAGTCTCTTGTGGTCTCTTACAAGGGGTGGTTTGGACAGCAGAGTTTTGAGATGAAACTCAAGTTCTGAGTTGAAACAGAGTTTGACCTACCTTCCTCCATCAGGAAGAAAGGGGGCTGAGCAAGCTTCATTGCAGTAGGAACTTTTCTGCCTGACAGCCACAGGGCTTGGACAATCCAGGTGGTACAGAGGGCAAGAGTTAGAAAACTAGGTGGCACAATGGGGCCAGGTGACCACACCTGTAATCCCAGTGACTTGGGAGGCTGAGGCAGGAGGATCAGGAGTTCAAGGCCAGCCTCAGCAATTTAGGGAGACTGGATTGAAATAAATAATAAAGAGGATCACAGGGTATAGCTGAACACTGGACTTCCCTGGGTTCATTCCCCAAGTAGGTGAGGGAGGAAGAAAAGAAGGAGGGAGAAGAGGAGGAAAGAAAAGGAAGAAAGGGAAAGAAGGAAGGAAGGAAGGGTTTGGCAGCAGACATACATGTACCAAGCTTAATTAGGTATACACTGGGCCTCATTCCAGGACTTCAAACTTGATAGGTTTTCTTCTGGTCCACAGGGCTCAGGGCAGGTCTAGTCCACCCAGCCTCTAACCAGTTCAGGGAGTGAGCTGGCCTGATACTGCCATGGCAGAATACAGATCCACAGAAATGAGACAGGATCCGGGGCCCAGGAGGACCCCCCCTTCTATAGATCACCCATTTGATTCTCTGCTGAAGACTATCTGCCCTGAATCCATCCAATTATAGTGTGTGTGTGTGTGTGTGTGTGTGTGTGAGCGTGTGTGCGCCAGAGGGGCGGGGGTGTTCAAAATTAAGTGTGCACCAGAAAACCATTATTAGAAATGCAAAAATATTGCCCCTCCAGCCCTGAGGTTTTAGCTTAAGGAGGTCTGGAGTGTGACTCAGGAGTATGCACTCTTTTAAATTTCTCAGACTCCTGAGACACAAAACAATTTCAAACAGTCCTGGAGTATTCTCTGCTTATAAACATGATGGCTGGGTTGCCTCCCTCCGTGCACATCTATCCAGAAAAGCTCTGCAGTGGCATGGGGGGACACCATTACTGCCTGTGTATTAGTATCAGCTACTGGGTTTGCTGCGGCTTCCTCCCAACATTATGTAATTCATTTTTCTATTTCTCTGCCTCACTAGGTGATAAGGTCCACAAAGGCCATTCCTTTGTTGCTTTACCAGAGTGTCCCCAGAGTGTAACACAGCCCCTTGCCCAGTGATGGCAGTTCACAATATTCCTGAAGGAATGAATTCTTCCAATAA